ATCGTATAGTATGTTGCCCACTTAAATAAAGTGAATTTAGGTCCACAAATTATTTTATCACTTTGTCAAATATTGCTGCTTGGGTTGATAATGTTAATATGTCAGTTCTTTCTGTTTCGTCTTATCTAACTTGTTAAAGTGACGGATCGGATTGAGTTACCTACCACCTGAGCTTTTTAATGAAAAGTTAAATAAAAATAGCTTACAAGATTAATTTTTTATAATGTATTATTTATAGAGTGTAAATATTAATAATATTTTAATTTAAATAATTAATATTTTTACAATTATTACTTATGATAATTGTTTTAATTTATCTATGTAAAATATTAATTAATTAATTAAAGCTTAAAATATATTTATATAACTAATTCACTGAGTATTTTTTTCGGAACTTGTTAATATTTTCAACCCACTTTCCTATTCACATCAACTAGTCCTGTCGTATTATTTAGTAAATACATTATAATTTTTTTTTAATTATTAATGAATATTTTTATCATAAATTTTTATTAATAAAAACATTGTCGATAAATTCAAATTGATTGAAAAAAGAAATTTATCAAAACAAATTCAAATTTACTAACCAAATTTAGAATTTAAATTATCAAAAGATATTTTTATAGATAATAAATTCGTGAACAAATTTAAATTTATATTACTATTAAAGATAATGTATCTAACTGTCAATTCTATCAATAAATCTTTTGGTGAATTGAGCAAAAAATTTCCCGACAAATTGAGTTATTTTATTCTATTTTATTACACTTATCCTCTTGGTTCTCATTTATTTTTGTTCTCTTGTACTTTTGAAGGGTGAAAGTTTTAAAAGCTTAAAATAGTTGGCTATTCATGGAGATTCTGGTTGAAAAATTTAAGTCCTAAATGAGCACTTGGTTGAGGAAGTAATCCTTGATTCAAGTATGCTCCCAATGTTTATCTTTGTTTTTGTCTCTAGCTTTTGAATTTTCCCTCTTTGTGTGTTAGAGTGTATGTTCTTATCACAAATATTTATTTGGTTTAGCAAATGAGTGATCTCTTATATTGGTTTAATCTTTTTAATGTTTAATTATATTATGTCATCTCAATTTCCAAAAGAATCTAATTAAATTAAAATCATGATGTTACCTATGATAAATAGAAGTAAAGAATCGTATAAAAAAACTTAGGTAGTGTTTAGATTAAAAAGTGGAAGTAAGAGAAATTGAGTGAATGAATTTCAGGAGATGGAGAAAAGATTTTGGTATTGTTTCCATTAAGAAATTTGAAGAGATGAATGAAGAGACTTGAAAAAAAAGCTTGTGAGAATTTGTGAATGATGTGATGTATGTGATAGATTAAAAAAAATGTTTAATTGATAAAAATAGATGGTTACCAATTTTTTCTTGTGTAGGAAATTGATAATTTTAAATTAAAGTAGTGAAAGTTATATTAAATGAAATTGAAATTGTTAATGATAAAAAAAATTACAAAAATAAAAGGAAAATTTATAAAAGGAATTTCTAAGGAATAAATTTCAAAAACATTTTCTTAAATAATAATTTGTATATTATTATCTAAATTATTGTTAACCAAAAGTATATTAAATTTGACATAGTAAATAAAAATTGTTCACATTCATAATAAATTAAATTGAAATAAGTCTTGAACACAAAAGTACTATTCATTAATACAAACCCAATCACTTAAACTTAAAATGATGGAAAATGATTTAATACACTCCATCAATTCTATCTTCTAAATCTTGTGTAGTTGGTATGGAATCCTTACCTCACAATTAACGTCAAATTGAAAAGGTTATCTTGGATTTTATCAATTTTTCTCATCTTTTCTTTGCATCCCCTTGTTGCATTTAGGGTTGTAGTCCAATGTTCATAGTAATCATTTAGACCTCATGCTTTACCCTTCCATGTTGCCAAATGTCATTGACATTAGCAATGTCCAATTTGGACAGTGTATTTTTTTTTTAATCAAAGTAATGATTTTATTCCAATCTAACGAGACTCTCATAATTTAGGTCTACCTCAAAGAAAACAAATATTCTATTAATCAACATTGTATATGGAAGAGACATGTTGTTTCTCCATTTAACCATGTGCTACATAATGTAATATGACCGGTTGATGACAATGATATTTTCAAACACCAATACATTCTGATAAATTAGTTTAACAAAATTTGTATTCAGATGTGACAACATATTAACAAGCAACTAATATAGGAGTTTGTCATTCATATTTAAACTTTTTGCATTCCTAACATCCGGCCATAGGTCTAATAATGGAGTTTAAACCTTTAGATTCGTTACAATGTAGGTCTTTAAGTAGGGTTTTGAAACAATAGCTTTCGATCTTCATATGGTAGATTATATAGTATAATCCAACATGCAAGTTTGATTCTGATCTTTATCGGTTTTACCTCACTAGAAATATGGTCATTATCACCAACTTTGAGATTTATGTAGAATAACTATAATTTTGGACTATGGAGTTACACAAAATTTTAAACATTGGAAGAGTATGTGTTATTGAAAGTCTAACTCCGATTCGTCGAACAATCACGAGACTACGATTTAAGGTGACAACACATGTTGTACAAAAAAGTAGGTGTTATATTTTTTCATCTGGGCCGAGGATGTTAATAACCCAATCGATTTCCATATTTTTGTTTAATAACATCCTCAGGTAGATTTGCATGTGATTTTCCTTTATGTGGTTCCCTTACAGCTGATTTTTCATCATCCTATGAACTTTGTTCATATGATGACAGACAACAAACGTGTTGCGTGTCTTTGCAAGTGTGATCATAGGTTGGGTCTTTGCTACTTCTAGGTTGAGAAAAAAAGTGAATATTTTCGTTCTTCAATATTTTTGTTGAGTTGGAATTCCATTTCAGGGGGGAGATTAAAGAAGTAATTTATTCAGTTCTAGAGAGTTTTTTTGTTAGTTTTGAGAGATTTGATTTATTAATTTATTCCTTTTTTCGGTTTGGGTTAATTGGGTTTATCAAATTTTCTAGATATAACGTTTTTGTGCAGATAGAGAGAAAATTCCCAGTAGTTGAATTATTTTATATGTTCCTTTGGCTAGAAAGTTGAATCGGCACTTCTGGGTTACAAGATATCGTGATTCTCTTCAGAAGTTAAAGAAAAGGTCTTTTTAAAGGTTCAACCATCCTTCATCTATGAGCATGATGCCTGCAACTCCACCACAGATCAATCCTACGAATAAGCTTCGTCATATTGGGGTTCCTGGAATCATTACTAGTAGGAGAGAAATTATAAGTGAGCCTAGTCCAAGCATGGTTAATGATACCATCTGTGTTGTATGGGTTTTAGATAACTTAAACCATTTTTCCTTTTTTTAATTTTTACATAGACTGAAGCTGTCTAATCTTGGATGATCAAATCAATCAAAGGCTAAAAATAACTTTATTATAATTTGAGTGCAAATCTTATTATTACTGTTAACAAATGTTATAGGCTTTTGATTGATTGAGCCTAAGAACATTATTACTCGTTTGGTGTGAGTATATATTGCGTTGTTCACCATTATTTTTGAAATTATCAGGAGATTTGAACTAAAACTAAAATTGGCCCAGAAGATAACGAGTCCTTCTACAGAAATTCTAATTATAATCAATAGCTTTTATTCGAGTTCTAGTGTATAGAGAATATTTAAGAAACCATGCTATGACTTATGATTTATGGTGTATGTTTTATCGTTTCCTGTGATAGATTTCAAGAACTGGATTTATTTTGGTTATTTTTATAGTGGGTGCTAAATTTCCTGCAAGTGCACTGAGAAAACAGGAAGTTCAAGATTATCATGAGGGAAAGGAAGAACTTTATATCTGTCAAAAAGTGGGGGTAATTTTTCTAGAGAATCTTGTTTTCAAAACTTCTTTTTTCTTTGCTAATAATTTTCTGATATAGGTGAGGGCAGGGAAACTACTCATTGAAATGGATTGTGTAGAAAAAGGGATTGTAGAGCTCATCCACCAGTATGGCATACAGAGGCTTGTAATGGGAGCATCATCTGATAAGTACCATGCTAGGTAAGTAGGCTGCTAAAATCCCTCAAGAAGCTACTACACATTATTTTAACCAAATTATCTGTTTGAAATTTGGAGCTTTTCACAGATTTTAATTACCATTTCTCAACATTCTTAGTTATGGAGTTTAATCTTCACCTCTTCCTGTTTGATTTTATTCCCCTCTTTAGGCTTTGCTTCATGGAAAATAACAAAAGAACAAGAGCCAGATAAACATAGTTAATGAGGAACTTCAACTTGCCTTAGATCAGAAATTATCTCTAGAGAATCGAATTGCATCCTCTGGACTTATTATAAAGGAGTTGGAGCAGAGGAATATATCTGCTGATGAGGTGTCTCAAAAGTACAAGGATGAACTACATGATTTGCAAATGCAACTTGAAAATGCGTTGAGATTTTTATTACGGGACCAAGTCCGACGAAAAAATTGATAAATTATTTACAAAAATGTCAATGGACTATCCATGAGACACATTAAAAGGTTTTTCCAAATCCTTGGATATTTTGCAGGAAGTGATGCAAGATCCACAAGTGGCTGCAGATGGTTTTACTTATGAAGCTGATGCTATACGTGAATGGCTGAAAAGTGGCGTCACACTTCACCAAGGACAAACACTCTAAAGCTAGCACATCCCAACCACTCTCTTCAAAATCATTGATCTTACAAGCTTCTCATTTTTCTCTTTGATTCTTCATAGTTGAAGTCTATTTCTCTAGGAAAATAGATGTCACTGTGATGCATTCCTCGAGTCCCTTTTCTTTCCTTTTTGAAATTGGTTATCTTTGGAGTAATTATTACTGCTTTATATGATTTTAATCCTTTTATTTTGAATTGTTTTATTTTAATTAACATTAACTAAATAACCACCTAAAAGTTATTAGTGAGTTCATACCAACCTTTCCAATGATCAGTTTGGATTAACAAAAACAAATCTAATCAGATAAGCTTGGATCACAAAATTTGATTTCCAAGATATTAAATTTAAATTTAAAATCTTAAATAGGTTGTCATTTTCTGAAACCACAAAGTGTGATTTTACCAACATATCTGTAAACAATGAAAATAAACCATGAATACAAGTATAACACATCAATCAATCCCGATACAAAAAGGAAAGGCTAACTCAACTAAGTTAAGACAACTCCTATTACAGCATCAATCATGAACTTTTCACTCATCATCATCTTCATCGTCACCAGCAGCAGAGTTGAGAGCCTGCAAGCGTGCAACCAATTTAGCCTTTCTCTCCTCGTAAGTGAGTTTCTTCAGATTGTACCTGCACAAATATGCAAATATACTCAGAAACCTCTTCCATACTAAAACTTAAATTTTTATGAATGTTCAAAATGTCAACCATGCCAGAGTACATAGGTGAAATACAAACAAACTATTATTATTGTGTAATTTTTATGAAGTTTTGACAATAATAATACACAGCTAATCATAATTTAACTAGTACAATGGAAGCCTTTTTTTAATGAAGTTATTGAATACTATAAAATGGTAAGTCCAACCTGATATAAATTAATCACATTCATGAGTGTTATACTTGGGTATGACCATTTTTATACAAAACCAAGTCAATTAACTTAAATCTACTTCATACAACAATAAATAATTACAGGGGACTGATGAGATTCTTATTTCACAATCCCAAACTTTTATAACAGACATACTTATTCATATTTTTAACATAAAAAGTCATCTTACTATATATATATATATATATATATATATATATATATATGTTTTTGTACACATTTTTTAACATAAAGAGAACATGTGCCTCATAAAATAAACTAAACCATAAAATGCATACTATATATCTATGAAACTGCATACTTCCAAAATCAATTGTTAAATGACAACTATATACCATGAAATTGCATACTTCCAAATCAATTATTAAAAGTCATACATAACTAGTAGCAAAAATAATATGACCAAAATCTAGATAAATAACAGAAACTAGATAAATAGCACAGGATTAGTTAAATATACAGCCAATCCAACAACAGCTCCAATTCAAATTGCCGGAATTCAAATGACAATAGATATATGCATTTCCCTAATTCTAGAATCTATTTGCATTCAAAAAATATCAGCCACTTACCTCTTGTGCTCCTTTGGTGCCTGTTTCTCGGATTTCTTGAAAGTAGGGTCAGCTCGGATGGCAGCATGAACCTTCTTATACAGATCTTCCAGACCATCAGGCTCTATTCCCTGCTTGATATAGGCACTAAAGTGTGACTGGTATTTCTCTGGCTCATCTTCAATCAATGTCTGCATAACAGATAAAATAGTTTGTCAGAACTCATTTCTTAAATAGTATTAATATTGTACTAAACATTTCAACAAACTGGTACTAAAAATAAATCTATGTCCGTACCTTTATATAAGCACCAACATGTCCACCAAAGACATATTTGCGGTGAACCTCAGCATCAAGCTCCTTCTTATCCTTATCAAAGCCAGCAAACCTTTTATCACTATGAGGGATATCCAAACCCCCATCGAGAGCTCCCTGTAAACACAATTATTCAATTGTATATTAATAAACAAAAATCACACTAAATATAGCACTGTATGGAAATAGATTACCTTAAGGGCACCAAAGACACGATTGCCTGTTGTGGTCTTAATAAGACCAACATCAAGGAGAGCACGGAATGGTCTCCTAGTGTCAGCTGGTTCCACTGAATAATCCTCTCCGGTGGCCTGAAAAGGGAACAGCCAAATAACATAAAAACATGTGACAAAAAAAAAACACAGAGCATAGCAAACTCGTAGATACCTCAACATTTCCTTCATACTCTTCATCCATTTCAAGCTTCTTAAGAACTCGACGGGCCAACAAGAGTCCAGTACAATAAGCTGATGACAGAAAAAAAGAGTGAAAAGATAGAACAAACCGTGGGTGACATAATGGTTGGGAGTTAGATTTGCTCAGAAAAGTACCTGCAGCATAGTTTGTAAGGCCTACTTCGAGACCGTAGCGTGGCAGCTCATGTGAATATGCTGCAGCAAGAACATTATCACCAGCAATTGTAGCAGATGTTATTTGGGCAATGATGTCCTTGTTAGTCTAATAAAAGGTTAAGGTTTATGCCGACAAAAATCCTCAACTCAGAAGAAATTCATTTATTCACATGATAAAACACACCAATTCAAGCATATATAACGAATTCTTGATAACATAACACTAGGATACAAATCGAACCACAAAGCGATATTTTGGTGTGTTATACTTGTTCTTGTCCTGGTTAATCAACCGAATCCTGGCACGGTAATCAGTTTTTCCCTCTGCAGTAAAGAAAATCACAATTACAAACGAAATTTGCAACGAACAAGAAGTACATTGAATACAATGAAGCTAAACAACCAAATAAAATACCTCTTCTTCTCTTGAACTTCACTTGATATCTCTTGAAGTAAGCCCTTGATTTCTGAGCCTTAACAAAGGCCTTTAACATGCACCCAAAAATGTTGATACAGATTATGTAATAAAAAAACATAAGAGCATGAAACCTGATCCATTTTAAGCTAAGCTCCCAAACGTAAAATCTCAACACAGAAACCATAGTCGGTAACGAAGATCAAAACTTCGCCTTGCCGCGAAACTCAAACTATAGATGCATAACATGAGAACATACCAGAAACGAAACAAGTATAATCGAAATTCAGAGTTTGCAAAATAATGAAGCACGATACTCACCATTGCTGTGAGGCAAGCTCCCTTCAAACGAAAGTGGCTACCAAAGTAGGGGATGAAATTGACGGAAGCCGCCGGATCAGTAGAATAAGGGTTTGCTTATATAAGGGGTCTGGTCCTCATGGGTTTAGGGCTTTATTGGCCCAATTTTTTTTTTGGGCAGTTGATTTTTTTTTTCTTAGCTTTTAGGTATTTTTAACTATCTATTGTTTCATCCACTCCTAAAATTACTATCTCAACCCCTGAAGGGTATTAGTACATGTTATTTGTTACTGAAACTAATAAATAATATTTACTAGAGACTTTTAATTCACACCATTTTAATATTTTAATTTATTTAATATTATCATCATGAAGATGAACTAATTAATTAAACTTATAATAGAATTAATTCGATTACGTGTTTATTGTAGCTTTGACTAAGTAACATTAGTTAAAAATTTAAACCTGGTATTTTATTAAAATTAGTTAAAAATTTGTTGTGAAGTTAGCTCGCTTCAAATTAGTGAAAAAAAAAATTGTTTTTGGGGTTATTGCTCTAGTATCTGCATTCTCAGAATTGTTATATGCAGCTCTCACTATAAGAAAAGACTTAAATATCCTTCAATACTACATCACATCAGCATTACCACTGTTATTATCGCTTTTATTATCATTACTGTCATAAAGGAAGAAGAAAAGGAGTTCAGATTTTTTACTGACTTATTTTGTACTGTCCCAATGTTGAACATTAAAAATGTATAAATGTTAATTATAAAAAAAATTATCTTAATTTTAAAACATCAAAATCAGTAACTATAAGTGTGTTTTGAAAACACAACAGAGCAAATTCGAAGAAAAAAGAAAATACAGCAAAAAAATATTCTACAACATATTTTATATATTCTGAGAAACTCCTTTTCAAACACATTTTATATAAGAATATTTCAAATAAATCATGTAGAAAGCATTGTGTTCTAAGCCTTTCAAAAAGTTTATTTTTTAAATTACATTCGGCAAAAAAACTTATTTTAAATTTATACTTCCCAAAATTCTTGTTTTGAAAATATTGTTCTTGAAATTCCAAAAATATTCTAGAACATATTATCCAAAATTATTTTAGTGATGATAAAATGGCCAAAATTGGAGAAGGTTCACAAAGAAATTGTGGGGTTGCATGAAGTAAAAGCCTTCTTAACATTGCTGATCAAAATGTCGACATTGATTGGGAATAAAATATATTTTTAATCTGCGTTGAATTTTTAATTGATGTCACTTAATTATTAAAATTAAATTTAGAATTAACAATATACAAACCTTGTTGTTTTTATTTTATTTTAAAGGTTTAATCATTTAAAACATCCCTATTTTTGTAGGGTTTTCTCAATTAGGTCCTCGTATTGTAAAATCTCTCAATTAGGTTTCTGAATGTGAAAAATTGGATCAATTTAGGGCTTGTCGTTAATTTGGGTGGACGGCGTTAAAAAATGTTATGCGTGGCAGAGTGACATTACCAAGTCTTATTGACGTGGCACACATTGGTGGCTAAGCTGACTTTCTTTTATTTACATATTTAAAAAACTTCAATGAAAATCAAAACGTAACGTTTTTATTTCATTGCGTTCTGTTCGTCTTACAGAGGGAGGCAATGTTTTCTTTTCTCTCCTCTACTCTAGTTCGTCCTGCAAGGAGAAGAGGGCTTCTACGTTTCGTGTTGGGACAAATGGCGGTGACGATGACAGCGTAGAGAGAGCGCGACCCGACAGCGTCTTCGTATTCTCCGGGTAGACCGTGATGGCGCGTTATTCGTTCCTTTCTTTCTCTTTTCCCCGTCCTGGGTTCTGTTTAGGATTTTCTCACATGGAAGGAGAAACGAGTTTCAAGGGGCTCAAGCACGACATTTCGCGACGCATGATCTTGCCCTCCAGCGTCTTCGCGGCGAAGGGAGAACGTGTTTGGGCTCGTGATCTGGGGGTTGCTTTTGCTTTCTTTTCAATAGATTGGAACGCGAATTGGAGTTCTTCTTTTGCAACATTGGGGTTAGGGTTTCTGAAATTGTGAATTTGGGGTTTTGGATCCTGCGATTTAGGGTTTTGTCTGTTCTATGATTTTGGTGGTTTCAAATTGGAATCTGAGTTTGAGTTATGAGAATTTCTTGTGTTCTTGATGTTTCGTTTTGGGTTCTTCCTTTCTGCATTGTTTTTTTTTTTGGCATTGAGGGTCCTTTCTCGCTGTTCTGGGTTCCCGTGGTGGTTGAGGATGACTGTTTTGGGTTCCCGCGGTGGTTGATGATGGTTGTGCGAGTGGCGCTGATGGGTGCGGCCATGCCACGGGTGTTGCGTTTTTTTGCAACGTTGCGTTTTGATTTCATTCAAGTTTTTTAAATATGTAAATAAAAGAAAGCCAACTCATTGACCAATGTGTGTCACGTCAGTAAAACTTAGTAATATCACCCTGCCACGCACAACATTTTTTAACGTCGTCCATCCAAATTAACGGCAAGCCCTAAATTGATCCAATTTTTCACATTCAAGAACCTAATTGAGAGATTTTACAATATGAAGACCTAATTGAGAAAACCCTAGAGAAATAGGAATGTTCTAAATTATTAAACCTATTTTAAAATATAAACCAATCTGGTGTAAGTCAAGCAGGGGGTTCATTTCGAAGAAGAATAAATGTAAGTACCTATTTTTCTGGCCAACTTTGCGCCTCTCTCCTCGCCTTCCTCTGCCTCCGACCACAAGTCGCAGCTCCTCGCTCCCACGCCCTTCATCCTCAGCAAGCGCATACACACCAACGATGACACTTCCAAGGACGACGTTGTTTCCGTGGGCCCCTCTACCCCGCCCGGACTGTGGGCCCTACCTGCTCGCGCCAATGTCGGACAAATTTGGAGCTTCGCCACCACTCCAGAAATAGTCGTGCAGCCCGCCGTCGTGTCGGTGTCGCAACAGTAGGCGTCGTTCTTTGCTCATCACCAATGTCAGCAGCAGTAGGCCATTGGAGAAGCGTCGGCGGCTAGGGTGGGGAATCACCTTCCGAGACATCTGAATTTGTTGGCTTCGTTGTCCGGCGGACCTGGGAATTCTTAGGGTTAGGTTTGTTTTTCTTAGTTTTGAATGGAGAAGTCCATCCTTTAAGAAATTATTCAATTAGGGTTTTATTTTAGTTCCTGCTTCTGGTTTGGAAAATTAACTAGGTGCTAAGAAAGTTGGATAATTGTTTTAGATTTTGGGGCTTTTGTTGGAGGAGAATGTGATGAAGTGATAACATACTCTGTGGAATTGTGATGTTGAAATATTGAAGCTTGTCGGTGTGGAAGTGCGGTTGAATTTGTAATGTTGTTGTGGTGGTAGAAGAAAATTGTTGCTTTTGTTTCACTTGCATACGACACCCATAGAGCACTTGGAATCACCCTCCTCTGCCTTGGAACCCTTCAGGTATGATTTATGAGATGTTCTTCGTTTGTTTGTTTCCGAACTCTCTTCTTTTGAATGTTATGGGGCTCAAAGAAACTACCTCTTTCGTTGAATACAGGTTTTTGCTATGCTTTTGAGGCCCAACAAGGATCACAAAATCAAAATCTACTGGAACTTCTACCACTATGCCATCGGATACGCCACCATAATCATCAGTATCATCAACATATTTAAAGGGTTCGAGGCATTGGAGGTTTCCGCAGGGGATCACTACAATGACTGGAAACATGCTTACATTGGCATTATTGCAGCTTTGGGTGGTATTGTTGTGCTTTTGGAAAACACTCTACTGCCTCGGTTCAAGTCCTAATTGAGGCAGTAGAGTCTGAGATATTGCCTCGGTTCACAACCAAGGCAAAAAGGGGTTGACTTTTTATCTCGTCTGTATATGTCTCGGTTTAGGAACCGCTGCCTATGAACGAAAATAACAGTTGTCATTTTCCTTAACTGTGGTAGTGTTTTAACTTAGCTTTTTCAAGAAACTTTTTACACCTTTCAAAAGCTACTTTTCATCTTCCCAAAAATGAATAAAGGTTGAGAATAATAATAAAAACGTTTCAGCTTCTTCCAACTGCAGGTATTCATCTGCATTGCACACCAAACCCCGATTCACTGCAGATCAAACGACATTAAATTTTTTTAATATTTTAAAGAAATTAAAATATGAATATTAAAATGTCTATATTTATTTTTCGTAAGCCATATTGTAAGGACCTAGAGAGAGAATCTCATTTTTTCTAAAAAAAACCACTTTCCCTCTCTAAAAAGCCATATCCTCTCTCTAAAACTTCAACCCTAACTTTCTCTGCCTTCTCTCTACCAAATCTTGAAATTGAATCGGTGTATTGTCATTTAGGTGGTGATTCTGCGTTCCCGGAGTTGAGAGCTTCAACTTGAACCGATCGGTTTCGCGTTCTATAGCGAGGGTTACTGTTTTGGGGCTTCTTCTAAATTGTTGTGCTTACCAAGGTAAGGGGAGCTAGAGTTTGGTTAAAATTTGTTGTATGCTATGTATGATGTTTTGCAGGAATTACGCTTGTTGATGTAAGTTGCAAACTGGTTTGACGGTTTTAAAGGATAGAAATGAAATTGGGAAACTTGTAGAAGTGAATTTAGATTTTTAAAGTGTCAAAAGTGGTTTGATACACCTAGTCTTGGATCTAGTGATCAAATGGATGTTTGTTTTAACTTATAAACGTGTTTTTCCATCAATACAAATGTGTAAAAAACCCCTTTAGTCATTAAAACAGGTCCCAAGTGCATCAAAGTCAAATTTCATGGTTGCTGTCAACTGGTATGGGCTGGGCGCCCTCTGGTTCGCCCCAAGCGCCCCCTGAGCGCCCCTGGATGCGAGGCGGTTCGCTCCCAGCGCCCCTGAGCGCCCTTGGGCGTACCAGCATGTTGTTGTCTTTGTTTTTGATAGTTTTTGGGGTTCCAGATGTCCGTTTTGGATGTTCCTTAGGTCGTTTTGGGGGTTTTGAACCTGTCTGGAACTGTTGGTGATGGTTTCAAAGCCATTTTCTTTGTCTAAGTATGAGTTATGGGGTTTTGTTTTGTTTAGTGGTTCTCTTCAGACTGTTATTGTCTGGTAATGTGTATTGGTTTGATTAATGTTGTTTGCTTAACAGATTGTCATGTACGGTTATGTATGAGACTTGGGTGGTTGGAAAGAACATGG